GCCTGTCTTCCTCTGCCCCCCGGGCGCAGGCGGGGCGCAGACCCCCAACGCCACCTCGGAAGGTGCACCCTTCTCCGGCGACCTCGGGCCCTCCACCGCACTGCCCCTCTCCCTGCAGCTCGTTTCTGCTCCTCGCTATCCTGTCCTCCTGACATAGCATCCGGGGCTGGAACCCCTTCTCCGCCCGCTCTACTACTCCTGACCTCCTTTCTGTCGCCCACACTTCCGCCCAGCACCCCTGTTCTCTGACCCCGGTTACTACACCACATGGCCTCCCGTGACCCCCAGTTATTTTCTCAGCCCATCCCCCTTTCCAGGCCCCACATTACTACCTCTGCTTCTCCCTTTCCTTGGTCCCACTTTGTTGCCCAGATAGTCTGATAAGACCCCCCTTCTTAATTCAACTCAAATATCCTCATTTGGCCTTTTAGAAGAAACCAAGCTCCATTCACGGATCATACCCTTCACGATTTCTTAATTACTTCTCTCCATTACTCCCAGCCAGCACCCTCCCCTTCCCACGCTGGTCTCCTCATGGGCTTTGATCCTGAGCCATTACTCCCTGTCCTTCAGGGATCCTGTACCTGTCCCCGCCCCCTCCTCTAGGACCACCCCTGTCCCCATCCTGCCTGTGGGCCACGCCCTGAACTCCCAGTCTCCGGCCTGAGTCTGCCTTTTCTTCCCCACCATTTGTGTCCTCCCCCTCACCCCTCAGGTTGCCAGATCATACACCCGCCCTGGGAAGGGGGCATCAGGTACCGGGGCCTGACTCGGGACCAGGTGAAGGCCATCAACTTCCTGCCTGTGGACTATGAGATTGAGTATGTGTGCCGGGGGGAGCGCGAGGTGGTGGGGCCCAAGGTCCGCAAGTGCCTGGCCAACGGCTCCTGGACAGACATGGACACACCCAGCCGCTGTGGTGAGTAGCCTCGGGAAGGCCCTCCCGTCTTCAAGACTATTCTATTTTCTGCCTCCAGCTTAATACTGCTTGCAAGTCAGCACTTTAAATCCAGTGCAAGTAAATTTACAAATACATGTACTGAAGACTACTATGTGAGAGGTTTTCTGAGAGCAGTTGGAGGTAGTAAAGCAGGAAGCCAGCACGGTTCATTTCATCGTCCCTTCATTAGGTCAGTGATCATTGGCTCGAGTAACTGAAATCATCCATCTTGTGAGTTACTCCGTTTGGGAATCATTACTGGCAGATTATTCTAAGAAAATTCTCACGATTTTCATTACACTTTCAGATACCTGTCTCCAGCCCAGATACCTTATGCCCAGGAAACAAAAGCCGGTTTAATATTAATATAAGCCAACTATAAGAAAAGCATATCTGATTGTGTATCTAAAGTTATACCCATTAACACATTTCAAAGGCAGAGAACCGCCCACTGTGTAGTTGACGGTGAAGAGATCCCATTTTGTGTGCTTATAGCTCCATCTTGGGTTCTTACAATGGAAATGCTTTTTCTTTTATTTTTTTTGGTGGGGGTGGGGGAATGTGTGCATGCTTGGTGGGTTAAGAGACTAGAGAAGTGGATCCTTTTTGCACCTGATTTTCTGTAGAGCATGTGGCTTAATGGACCCAAACCCAAACTCTGCTCTCCAAGGGGAAGAAGCCTTTTCCAACTCGCCTCTTGTCTTATTTTCCAATCTCTCTCCACAGTCCGAATCTGCTCCAAGTCTTATTTGACCCTGGAAAATGGGAAGGTTTTCCTGAAGGGTGGGGACCTTCCAGCTCTGGATGGAGCCTGGGTGGATTTCCGGTGTGATCCCGACTTCCATCTGGTCGGCAGCTCCCGGAGCATCTGTAGTCAGGGCCAGTGGAGCACCTCCAAGCCCCACTGCCAGGGTGAGGGGAACAGCTGTCTGCACGCAGCTGATGAGGATGGGAATGGGGAGGGAATGGATGGTGGGAAAGGCTGGGGTGCCATAAAAATGTGGAGGGGGGCCTTGGACAGGTGGAGGTGAAAGCCCAGCTCTTTTCTCTATCCTCCTGTCTTCACACTTGCCCTGCAGTCCCCAGTGTCCATTTACCTACTGTGGGTCTTTCTTACTTCACATTTCTCTTTTTATCTTCTCCCTGGTCCTAATTCTTGGGCCTCACATTTTCTCTTTTTCTTTACAAAGCTTGCTCTTCCTTACCATCTTAAAATTTAAATACCCCAGTTATTTCTAAACTCATTCCATTTCTCGAAACTTTGAATTTTCTCTGCACCACCTTTTTCTAGAATTGATCACCATTCACTACTTAATGAATTATTGTGGCAACTCAGAAATAAATCTTTTTTTATTTAGAAAAATTGATAAGAGGAGATCTGGGAGTGAAATGTATCAGGTTAAAAAGATTTAAAATTGGGGGAACCAGCACTTAGCGTAATGGCTATGTCGCTGGACTCCCACGTAGTTGACCGCGGTTCGCGTCCCGGACCCGGTGGCTTAAAACTCACGCCGGGAGCGTGTGCATGCGTGCCCAAGATCCCGAGAGGAGAATGGAGGAGAAGGGATTGCGGCGTGACCATCCCCCCTGGGGGATGATTTCTCGCTTTCTGTCGCTCTGTCTCTCTCTGTCTGTCTGGTGAGCCCACGCGCCATATAGCGAAAAACCTCTCAAAAAAAAAAAAAGATTTAAAATTGGGAGCAAAATGATTAGTACATGAAGGATAACCCAGGGGCAGGGTGGGAAGAGGACAGCCCTTTTCTCTCCTCACAACTGTCATTCCTTAGGAAACTGGTGGTGTGTCTACGACCTTCCCACTCCCATCTCCGTCTACAACACCCCCTTGTCCCTGGCACCCAAACTCTCCCTGTGCACTTTCTTTCCTGGGGTGCAGGCATCCCGTTCTTATGCTTCATGCTTTTTTACCCTTATGACTTTCCTCTCAAGGTTGGGAGTTCCTTCTGGGGTGGATTTTCTGCGAAGCTAGTGACACTTAAGCTTCAGGGTTCCTCTCATGGCCCTCTTTGTTCTAATAACATAGAAGGCTCTAATTTGTTCACATGGTAATTTTTGTAAAAATTGCAAAAGATGTTTAAACAGCAATTGCTTATAAGCAATTGTGTCAGTCACTTTTTTTCGTTAAAAGAGAGACCTCCAAATTTTATAATATTCTGGCTCCGGAAAAACAAGTCTCTGCCCTGCCTTAGCTGCTGGCACTCCTGTCATAAGTTCTGTTGTCCTACTAAAAGTAAAAAAATAATAATAAAAAAAGGAAACCAACAAGTCCTGACCCCCAGCCCCACCTTGCTCTTATCCCCAGGCACCCTCCCCTCAGAAACGCAGGCTTCTGCCCTCCCGATCTTCGGCTTGGACAGGTGTGGGAGGGGGCTGGGGATCAGGCCGGGGAAGCTGGGCGCCAGTGGTAACTCTTCTCTGATCCCCGTCTTTCCTTCTGCCAGTGAACCGAACGCCACATTCAGGTGAGATCAGAAACCCTCACCCGCGCACTGTAACCCCGGCACCCTCACTCTTCTCCCTCCGCCCCGGGCATTCTGCCCTAGGCTGCGGGAGCGTCCTTCTCCCACCCTCCGCCGCCCACCCTAGATTGCGGCCCACTTCTCCCCCTACCTGTTTCCTGCCTCCGCACCGATTCTCCGGGCCGCGTCCCTCCCATCTCCCGGCTTGGCTGCATCCCCGGCTCCACCTCCTTCGCAGGCTCTCCTCCCCCCTCCCTCCCTCCGCGCGGTTCCTGCCCTCTTCCCAGTGCCTTCTCCATCGTCCTGTCTGCCATCCATCGGCCGCGTGGTCCCTCCCTCTGTCCCCATCTCCCCTAAACTCAGTCCCCGTCTTCGCCCAGCTCTCACCCAAGCTCGTCCCATCCCGTCTCGCCACCTCTAGTCTTTCACCCGGGCCCTTCACGCCCCTTTTC